AAATTACTAAACGTTTACTGCACTATTCACTCCGTCAGCTTTCTTTAAAACCCCGAGCAAGGCACAATTAAATATCTAGTAAAGACACTATACTTCGGGTAGAAGATAGCTTGGTTTTTCATCCTTTTTGCCATTAGAATTTTCACTAATTTTCCATTGTTTTTTCACCACCATGATCATGGTAGGAATAACTATAACTGAAGATAGGGAGCGATGAGGGGATTTATTAGGAAGATTGGGATGGAGGGAACATACGGCAACTCATTCGGAGGGAACGGGAATTGTACAACCATAGCCATGGCTTTGGTTTAAATTCTAAGTATGTATTTATAACTTTTCATAAAATTAGCCTTTTCTAGGAACCCTTGAGTATGTGTTGGGGATTACTAGAGTTTCTACCTTATTAATCTCTTCGTACCCTTGCCTTTCAGCATTTCTCTTGCTTAATATCTCAAAGCCGTATTCATAATAATGAATCCACCTGTTGATGCCCCCTTACATACTTCAATTCAAACTTATCCAAGCATACCAAAGTTTTGAGTATGGAATGTTCTTCTGTTGGTTTTTTTAGAACATGTTACCTTAGTTGGTATGCATATTATTCACTAAATCAGTTTTATTCTCAATCTTAGATAGGCGACTCTATCATCGACATCATTTTTGTATATTTATATAGACATATAATACACATATAATTACGTGACCTATTTAATTAAATCGGAAATCTAGCATTTAAAATATCCCATAGTTTTGATAAGTTTGTGTGGCAAAATTATTTCGAAACAAACCTGTTAGCAACCAATATAGGTAAGAAATACATAAAATATTCAAATTTCGCTTTGGATACAATTCTCCTCAGATACTAATAAATACTTAATTGTCATTTTCAAAGAGTTTAGAATCATCAATGGATCTCAATCAAGGTACAAATATGCAGTGTCCTCACTGCTCAAAAGCCTTTAAAACCAGACGGGATCTTAGAACCCACCTCTTCACGCATGACGAAAACGCTCAAGTTAATTGCGACGTAAGTGAATTATGCTGTCTAATTACAAGTCTCTCTAATTACTAAGCCGAATTTGTAATTAATCAGGACTTCATAATTAAAAAAACATTTTATGATATTAAATCGAGATAAGTAATTGAACCTTTACTAAAATCTCTACCTAGCCCACCAAACCTCAAAAATTGATTGTTGGTTTTTATTGAATTTCTGATTAAAGCCTAGTACTCAGCTTTTCACAATTAGACTCAACTTCTCCACATATTTATTAAATTACCCCTTAACTTAAAATACTTCAATTCGCATCGGTTTGTCATGAATTGACGCATATTCTCAGTTATAAGTAAAATATCGCTTAAATTACATTATCTCCACAACAGTGGGTTAACTTTTTCACGTGTAGAAAACGAGCTGTGTACTAAGCTTAACAATTTATTAAAATAAGCTTACTCATGTATTTAAACCTTTAATTAATTCCATTGTTTAATTAATTAGAAAGCCCTGTCATAAATAAATAGGCTTATTATTAAACAGGATAAATCTATTTAGTTACATACTTTTTTTTACCACAGATTTGCACAAAAACACTAAAAAATCCTCACGTACTCAGCCGTCATATGCGAACCATGCACAGCAATAAAGCAAAACCAGTCTGTTCAATTTGCTCGCAACAATTCTTCACTGGAACATCTTTACGGGACCACACGAGTAGAATTCATGGAACGACGGGCGAAGGAGGTGAAACATGTAAAATATCTCAGGGACAATTTGTCAATGCAAAATATTTACAAAACCACACATAAAATTCACACCGCGAGGGAAGGCTCCCGACACCCGTGCACATTTCCAGGATGTCTCAAATCCTTCACTTTACGGCGTGAAGCTGTCAAGCATTTCAAAAATGTTCACATCCAGACGATCCGGCCAAGACACCCTTGCCCGTTTTTGGCTTGTGGGAAATCCTTTCTGAACAAGAAAACCGTCCGAATTCACTTTAGAGCGGAACACGACGAGAATCCGGTCCGATGGAGGTGCACCCTTTGTGGCGTCCAATTTAAGAATAAAAATCACCTCGAGAACCACATTGCTACCCATACGAAAGAAAAGAGCTACAAGTGTGAGACATGTGGGAAGACCTTTATCCGCCTTTCCCGCCTCAAATTGCATCAGGTAAAGAAATTTTGATTATGAAAAAAATCTCTCGAATCCTAGAATACAGGGTGTTTCTCCCGAGTTTGTGCTGCAAGCGAACAAAATCTGGTCAACCTCCTAACCACAAAGTACACAGATTTGTGTAGTATTTTATTTCCTTTCACGGCGAAATACACAAATGTGTGTACTGCATAAATTACCCTGACATCAAAATTTCTCAGATTATTTCTTCGGTAATTTGTGGAAAACTCGATGGGAAAAAGTGGATTTTTTTCGATATTTTTCTTCACAAACTTTTGAATTTTCCCCATATCGGCCAATGTTAAAAGGGGATTTTTCGTAGACAAAATTTATGGTAGACAAAAGTAAATAAATATTTTGTGTACCCTTTCAAGTCGCAAAGTTTTGTCACGAATTCCTTAATTAATATGGTTCCGGAGGCAGTGTCAACGCAGTCTTTCTCATTGCAATCTGTCACTGTTTCTGATAATCTGGGCGACGTTTGCATAAGTTCGTCTAGTATTTTCGAGGAATAAAATGAATTTCTAAATATAAATAATTTATTCATACATAATTAAATGAGTATTGCTACCTGCTGATAATAATCTGTCAAGTGCTCGAAAATCTGACCGATGGGTTCCTGTACTACTGCAACTGGCGGCGAGTTGAGTGGGCCTGAAACAAAAAAATGATGGCTGCAAAAACAAAATGATAAAAGATTTAAATAACTAACCGTAGCCAACTGAAGAAGTAGAGCAAAATGAAGAGTCCAGCGTGACCTCCTCAAATATTTCGCCTTTGACCAGGAAATTGACGTCAGGGATTGTATGCTGCTCCAAAAAATGGGGAGGACTTCGTCATCAATTTCGGCTCCGTGACCGTCCTTCAGCACGATCTCATCTTCCAACTTTATTCCAAATTTGGATTTTACTAAAAATAACAACAAAAAGTAATTAACAATAAATTAACAATAAAAAAATAAAAATAACAATAAAAAGCATTTGCTAATTAACGTTTATCATTAGGAAACTTACATGTTTCTACGAAATCTTGATAATTGATTCGGGAGACAATTAATTTTTTGCCTCTAATGTCATTAGACACACGGACTAATTTCTTCTCCATGTCGCTGCTTGTGACTGAAAAGTCAAACTAATCAATTGAGCTTCCCGGGTTGAGACGAAGGGGATTTTGTCTCTATTGAAGGAGAAGAATCAACTCCGCTCTCATTTTAAGTTGGTGTTAATTTCAACACATTAAAGTTACAATTCTATTCCGTATCGGTGAGGTTCCGTATTAATATCTGCGGTGTTAATAATTTATGTGCGCGGATATAATTTTGGAGACAATATTATATCCGTGTCCGTTATGCTCGTTATCACCGAAGGCCGGTTATGTTTTTTTTGCTGATTTTAACACCGCTTTGCTAAGAGAGTACATAGATGAATATATTTTGGATGATGGTACTTCACTGCAGAGTTAAGTCGGTTTTTTTGGTAATCCGAGCCCCGATCCGTTTGGATAGGATCGGATATGTTTTTCGCCCGAGAACGGATCGATCGGATAGGATATTTTTATAGATAAAAAAAACGGATCAGATTTCTGAAAACCTTGATCCGACTAAGGTTTGTCGCTGGTTGTGAAACCAAATACTCGAAATTAGAATATTTGGTCTGGTCTGACATTGTTTGGATAATAAGTATTTTTTCATCCAAGAAACGGATCAGATCGGATATTTTGTCAATCAGTAGAAGGGATGGAATATTTTTGAAAATCCAAAAAAAAAGAATCGGAACGGATCGAATGTTTTTTCAATCCAAAAAAACGGATCGAATATTTACGAAAATAAAAAAAAAACGTATAGGAACGGATCGGATATTTTTTCAATCCGAAAAACGGATCGAATATTTAAAAAAATCCAATATCGGAACGGATCGGATTTCTGAAAATGCTGATCCGACCCATCTCTGCTTTGCATTTACTTCAGTTTAACGGATAATAGATACCCATGTGGAAAGCATGCCTGAGGCAACTTGGTTATTTATACTTGACAGCAGTCAGTTTGTTGGCAGGGTTACTTAGCTGGTCAAGATTATAAATACACCCCTCAACTCATTTGGATAATAAAAAGGCTGAAGAATTTTCCATTTTTCAAAATTTCTCGTAAAGATTGGAAATTAAAGTTAAAAGTTGGACCATGTCAGAAACGAGAACAACCTCTACCTCAAAAGCTTTACAAAATACATTGGTTCGTTAACCTTATTTAGCAACAATTTGAATATTCCGCCATACATGTTCTTTAATCATTTCCAGATACTTGGAAAAATTATCACCATCCTCGCAACCAGTGGGGTGAAGGAGGTGAGAAAGGTGTCTTCCCTGTGGGAATCGGTCGCCAATCCGATTCTAGGGAGACGGACGGTCTTCTCATTTATCAACCAGTATGGCCCGAGGGACTCAAATCCTTCCGTAAAAGTTCAGCTTTTACGACGCATTTATTTCAACTATGTCAGCCTTACTCTGGCTCAACGTGCCAATGATATTCTGGGGATAACAAATCCGCTACATTTCTCCGATTTTTTGGCAAAATATAAAATTTACATTGAAGAGTTAACTTTACACATCAATCACACACTCTAAACAAAATTGAGTAAAAAAGAGGATGACACAACAGTCGAGGTAAAATTTGTCCAAAATTGAGTAAAATTTGCCCAACGTTGTGCGAACAAGGTGCATCATCATCATAATTTTACTCAATGTTGGACAAATTTTACCTCGACTGTTGTGTCATCCTCTTTTTTACTCAAGGTTGGGCAAATTTAGTACAACTTTTTTTTAGAGTGCAAGTTTCAGCCTGTGATGGAAGGATTACAGGGGATGGGAAGTTTCACAAATCTTGTCAAATTTCAAGTTGAAGTTCACGATTTGGGATATGATTATGACACGTGTGAACTTAGCCCAGTCCAAATTTCCCATGACTTGCCTAATCTGAAGGAATTCAAGATTGTTAGTTACCGTATTAAAGGACAGGACGGGATTGGACCATTTTATCGAGAAATGACGACACTAATGTTGAAAATGGCGCGCAACTTGGAACGATTAATAATTTTGGATAATTTCTGCCCAGATTTGTCGAACTGTAAGAAATTGAAATATTTGGAGTGGCTGTGCAACCCGTACAAATGGACGGACTCGTATCTTTCTGAAATGTAAGTTGAATAAATGATACAAGTTATTTCATTTGAGCAAAGGCGGATTGATTTTTCACAGTTTTATTTAAAATGTCGAACTTTCAAAAGCGTAAATTCCAATTAACTAATGGCGTGTATTTTAAATATTTACTTAATTTTCAGGATCCTTTGCAGAGAGTTTGATATAACAAAATTTGTCGGCATGCTGGCCATGATTTCAAACACTTTGGAACGTTTAACCTTCGGTTTGAGAGATTCGTACTATTCGACTCCCCTGCCAAGAGTGCACTCTAAAAAAAGTTGTACTAAATTTGCCCAACCTTGAGTAAAAAAGAGGATGACACAACAGTCGAGGTAAAATTTGTCCAACATTGAGTAAAATTATGATGATGATGCACCTTGTTCGCACAACGTTGGGCAAATTTTACTCAATTTTGGACAAATTTTACCTCGACTGTTGTGTCATCCTCTTTTTTACTCAATTTTGTTTAGAGTGTGGTGGTTAGTCGTTTTATAATTTTGCACCGACTTTTCTGAAATGTTGCATAAATTTATTGTTCGAGTAAAGTAGAATATCGCTGGCTTAGTGAGTAATTCAGCCAAGTCCAAATCGTGTCATTTTTTTCGCCAAAATGTTTTTCGCCAAACTGACCGGATACCTAATTGTTAGCAGTATTACTCACTAAGCCGACGATATGTACACTCTTAGCAACTTGGTAAATTACCAATGTTAATAAATAAAAACAAGCGGAGTAGATATATGACTCTACCGCGACGGAATTAAAAATTTACACCAGGTTGGTATAGATTTAGTAATAAAATAACACTTTTTGGTAATAATTTTGACACTAATTTGTGTTATTTTTTTTACCATATAGTATTGTTTTAATACCAAAGCATTACTATCGCGGTAGAGTCATATATGCACCCCGCGCAGTAATGATTCATTGAATTTTTGTTTAGAGTGTAGTGTACAAGGCATAATCCTTATGATTGCATATCTCTCTCTCTCTCGATTCTTCAAAGTGCATGGGGTGGTTTGATCGTTAGAGGCTAATATTTCCTAAAAATTCACTATTGGACCTGTTTTTTCGTTGTACATACATACCCACCTTTTTAGAAAAATGGGCGAAAAAAAACAATTCAATGCAGAAAAGTACTTATTTTTTATAAAAAAATAAAGCTTTTCAGTAGTAGGTAAAGCAATCGATAACCAGCTTGTTCCTATTATTTGGTCATTTCTTTAGGAAACTTAAATCTAGCTTAATTATACATCTCTTTTTACAGATTGATCCTCACACCATACCAACTCTTAAAAAACTGGAAGCCTTATCCTTGCCAGCTGTTAATGTTCTTGACCTGGATTTCGCAAACCTGACCTCGGAAGAACTACCCAATTTAAAACGTGTCAAACTGACCACCACCATTCGTACCCCATTTGTAGAGAGATCCCTCCCAAACTATCTCTTTATGGTTATGCCGTCAAGGACTATGGTAATAGAAGATTTAGAGATCGGACAACTCGTCGGATATCTCGCAAGATCGGTTTTTCCAAATTTGCCTTGAAACACTTGACCATTCAAGTTTCTGGAGTATTGGATGAATCCACAGATCTTGATGGCTGGAAAGGATTTTTCAGAAATTTGTACCAATCCCCGATAAACATATCGCGATTGACAATTTATATGGGAATCTGGTCATCATTTTCTAATTTAATGGGGGCGATGGATGTTATGGATGACCTAAATCCAGTGGAGGGTAAGAATGGTGGAACTTTTAAATTTTGTATTTTTATCCACCATGTTAAAATCCTTATCTCATAAACAAATTGTGAAGGTGCAGGTTTCAAAAATTAAAATTAGTGCTACTTATTTTATGAATAACCCTTTCCTTTACTAAAGGGTGAAACGAGGCGAAATCCCTTTATGGGAATGTCTTGTCTGTCCGTGTCCAGGATAACTTTAGAACCGATGCGGTTTTCGCTAATGTGTTTCGAATTTTTGATGTACGGATGAGTTCAAAGATGGGCTTTGTAGGTCATAAGGTCACGGCGCCATGGTGATGACTCCAATGTTCGAAGATGTCGAAATTTTTTATTTTGACAGTTTTAGACGTAGTTTTGGGCGGGGATTTCAAAAATTGGCATCATTTTGACGCAGATTTCTATTACAGCATACATATCTTTCACTGGATAACTGTTGCATTCGGGTTCTTTTTCGTTCACGAGAAGGCTTGACATTTGACTTCATTTTGACAAAAAAAAATAGTTCAAAAATATAACAGGTGCAAAAGTTTTAGCCGAATTGTTACCGAAGGGAGAGTGACGGAAAGAAATTTTCCGAACGCAGCGTGTGTATGTATGACCGTGTGTTTTCACTCCCCTGCTACATTTCGTTTGCAACGGTTTATTTAGTACTTATTCTGAATTTCATTGTGTTTCCTTATTTGTATTTAGATCTCAAGTGTCAGCATCATTAATGGAGCCCCCCAAACTCACAATTACCAATATGACTCACAACGCACCAAGTTCGAAAATGTGTTTCGAACTTGGCAGCCAAATTTATCCTTTGTGGGATACGAGGTATGGAATTTCATATTTTTAGGAATTAAAGTGTTTTGATGATATTATAATCTAACGTATTTACTACTTGTTTATTATTAAAGTTCAAACTTCCCGCGGCTACTCGAATGAAGAAATTCATCAAGGAAAATAATTTGGGCGTTAGTTTTGTAGACAAAATTGATCACTGATACAAGTTCTACCGTAGATATTGGCTTGTGAAACTGCTCGTCAGGAAGCAATGACGATATTAAAATATGCAGCCTACACTGAAAATAAAGTCTTGAAAATTCGTTTAAGTACTTAAGGTTTGCACTGTTTACAGATTAAAAGTGTTTCTTGTTGCGTGAACAAAGTTACTTTCATGCATATGCACATGCTCATGTAAAACATGGATATTACATATGTATTTCATGCATAGTAAGTAAAATATGGATTCATTTTACTCATTTAGTTTCCACCATTGATGAAGATTAGATCATAATTATATAAATATTTTAATCGGTTATTTTGCGCCATTAAAACTAAATAATGTCAAAATTGTGTATCTATTTTAACCGTCTATTTTAACCGTGTACAAGGGGTGCAAAATTATGTAAAAATAATTATTACAGGGTGACCTACTTCTAACGTTACAACGGTTCATTAGCAAATATTAACAACAATTGTAAACATTTGTAATATTTGAAACTTTAAGGCAAATCGGGATCCCTAAAGTGGTCGAGAATTGAATCCCTCGCATTGGGAAAAATATCCAATAATCCATTGTAAAACGGACTTCCCTCGTTCTGTCGTGAATTTCCTGGACGTTTGAAACCAACCCATTTCACAGACTCAACAACTCGACCCGGATTAATTGTAAGTTGGGATGGAAGAAAAAGATGAAAACAAGGAACGGCCCTACATCTCGAAGAAACATGTAAAGTTTCCAGGACCGGGAAACAATTTGAGTAATCAATCCGTCCAAAATTTCCTGACTCGAAACTACTCTCAAATTTTAGACTGCGATAGAATTCACTGTTACAAATCCTTAAAATTTTCAAAGCAGGAAATGCCGGGAAAATCTAGCCCAACTGGGTGTGAGGTAATATATCGATACAAAGGTTTTCCAGACTGAGAGAATGTTTTTTTAACAAGGTGTACATAATTGTAGGAATTTCGGAAATAAGATCATCATTATGGTCGAGTTTAATCGCATAAAACGCAAGTTTCTTCAAAGGACCGGGAATTTCCAGTAAGCATTCCATATTGTTGTTGTCTAAGCCTCCAAACAATTCCAAGGTGTTCAGTGATCTGAAAATTAATAAAAAATATTTAGTCTCCTCTAAGTCTATTTAAAAAAATCAATTGGGTCTGGCATCGACGAAAAGTAAAAGATATGTTAATTCCATTATTAAGCCCACTTTTTTCTTATGAGTTACCAAAAAAACGAGATAATTCAAGGCAAACATCGATGAGGGTATTCATGCAGTGTGGGCATGTGGGCAGAGCCAAAAGTTCGCAACTAATTTTCCGCACAGAAAACTTGTTGCAAATGTTGTGAAATTTATTATTTTGCGATACGCTACTCATATAATGAATACCCCCAATACATATAACACCCAACGACATTTACGAGCTTGTAAAATTGTGCATGTTTAATGAATCCCTCTCCAATCCTGAATTTTTGTCAATATTCCCTTCCAAAATTGACACTTACCCCGGAAAGTTTTTCAGGAAACCAGCCTTTCCCAGTTCAAGTAGGTGACGAGTCTCAATTTGTATCTGTTCTATCGCTGTGAACGCTTCCGTCACTGCGTGGCCAATCCTCTCGAGCGATTCATTTCTAAGTTGGGCTGGATAACTGATTTCCAGTCTTTTCAATTTCGAGAAGCTCTTCCCGCAAAGGGATGGAAAAACATGGTAATTTTCCCATTTAAACTGTAACCTTTGCAGACTCGTGGGCGACATGCGAATGAGTCTGAGAACCGAGTCCTTCTGCCACTGAACGTGATGTGGGGTGAGGAATTGGATCGAAATTGATTTCATCTTGCGAACAGGATCAAACGTTTTGGGGTCAAAGGACGGCTCAACGTATTCACGTTGGCTGTATTTGTAGGAAAATTTTATGTCAATGTTGACCGGGCAAAATTTTAGTTTTTCTGCGACAACGTCATGATCGGTCGAGTTTTCTGGATGGAATTCAATCCCTATCTGCGTCCTGAGCTTGAGGGCGTGTGTGGCACCTACGTGCCACGATTTGGACACGAAACGACACTTTTTGATGTCAGGAATTGATAGGAATTTGCAAACTAGTGGAATCACCTGGCAAAGCAAAATATAAGTGTATCATAATCGCACTAATTCTAAAATTATCTATGTGCACGGGTTTCTTAATTCTAAAGCCAGCTATGTGCAGTCAGTGCTTAATTCTAAAAGGTGCTACATAAGTGCAAGGGAAGAACCAATGGTGTGAACAGTACACTTAGCTGATTTCAGAATTAACGAACGACTGCACATAGCTGATTTTAGAATTAAGAAACCAGTGCATATAGATCATTTTAGAATTAGTAGGACGATATGTAAATTACTGGTGAAAAAGCCAAAAAATCGAAAGTGTTGATGATATGTATCGTCGGCTTAGTGAGTAATGCAGCCAAGTCCAAAACGCCGAAATCAAGCCAATAGCAACTTACCAGTAGTAAGTCACCTATTTTGTACGGGACTAGGTCTGATTTCTTTTTGACGTGTTTTGGACTTGACTGTATTACTCACCCAAGGATATACGGAATTGTCAAAAAACATGGGAACTAATTTTTTTCTTAAAAATTCATAAAAAATATGTTCGAGGCAAAAATGTATAATTTTTCATTAACAAGACGTTTTTCCAAAATTGTATAAGACTAGCTTCGGAGAAAGAGGTACATGGTCCTAACGGTGTTGTCACAAAACCAAAAACGCTCTTACACGTGTACGCGCGTTTTTTCTCAAAGTGCCCCAAATTTTTCGTTTTGCCCCAAACGCACGGAACGCTGATTGTGACGCTATTATCCTGCCGATTTTCTCCACACATGGCATGTAATCCTAATTTAGGGTCGGTCAGAGCGTTCCAGAGAATTGACCGTTTAGGCTGAAATTGATAATGCCAACTACCTGAAATTTTTGGCAATGTTTTTCGTTTTTTAGAAATATTTCCAAAATTTATGAAATGGTATTGTTCCAGCTGCATATCTCTACAGAAACCCTATATTCTGGTTTGAACGCCGTTGGAGTGAAGCCTCTAGCTCAAGTATTAAAGGTACTTTGTAGGAACATCGACGACGGTCGAAATTGCTACAAAGTGCCCTTAATGCTAACTTTCCTAATGACCGCTTGTTTTATTTGCTTCAAATTTTGGTATGTTATTGACCCTTAGGAGGCGAACATAGTTAAATTACCCCAAAGTCGAAATCGACCTGAGTGACCTTGTTTTAGAGGTCAGCGGGACAAATCAGAAGATAAAGTCTCACATATGTCCTATGTGGGGTGACCAGTCTACTCACATAAAAGAGATAGCCAGGCCAGCGGCGGTAGCACATTAAAGGCTAATTGCCGACAAGTCTCACATATGCGGTATCGTTCGAAAGGTCTCGGTGAGGGGATTCATAATATGTATACGCTGTGGGGTCTTGGACCACTCTCTGATGTTCCAGAGACAGGAGAATACTTTTGAGTTTATGTGCATTGATTGTCATATGAGGTCCCAATCTGCTGCAGTGTTAAATTTTTGAGAATTGACAATTTTACTTCCGAAGCTAGTCATAAGCTTGTTATTTAACGGAAAATTGAAACTTATTGCATGTAATTCTCATGCATTTTGGGGAAAATAATTTCCCATGTTTTTTGACAACTCTATGCAATAATGAAGATAAGTTAATAAATAATTTTTCGAAGTTAGGATGTAAAACCAGGTTTTTTACATCAGGGATAAGCTCTGGATCCTCCTCATCATCAGAATAAGGCATGGAATCCCCTCCCTGCAAAATATTTAAGATAATCAAAAAAATAAACAAGAAGCATCTATGTTCTCAATTGTTTCGCACCATTTTGAGTCTCCGATTATTCGATATCAGTGGTGCTAATAAGTCGGTCAGGAATGCCAATAACTGGCTCTAATTAGCACGAATTGATGCAAAAGAGTCGTTAACAGACAGACGGACGGACGGACGGACGGACGGACAAGAGGAATTCAATAGCTCCTCTGCTGCGCAGGGTGAGCTAATAACTATAATTTTTACTTCCAATTTATCAAGATTTCATGTCAAAATTATGGCGTCTTTTCCCTCGTTCTTGTTAAGTTAGAAACATTGGTCTCCAACCTATAAATAGATCATTCAATTCGTTTTGTTAGATATGTATTTCATATTTCATCACAATGCGTATTTTTGTGTGTACCAAATCCATATCCAACGATAAACTTGCGTACCATGTGTGCCTCTTTATTTATTAAGTAGCGCAAGCTACTTTATGCGATCGGTTAGTTAGTCTGTCCGTCCGTCTGTCTGTCTGTCTTACTGTCTGTCTGTCTGTCTGTCCGTGAGCACTAAAACTCGAGAACGGTTTGTCGCAGCGACCTGAAATCTTTAACACATGTTCATCACGGGGGTGGGGTGACACCCTATTAAGAGGGTGTGGCCACTGTGTCGACATCATGTCGAAAAACGTCGCCATGGCCTAATTTCTGGATTTTTTGGGCGATTTGCATGAAATTTGGACAAAACATGTTTTTTAGTGTTGTCGACATGTCGCAATATGGCGACTAAGGTTTCGACGACAAATTTTATCGCCATGCCCTAATTTCGGCATTCTGCGGTCGATATGCATGAAATTTAGGCAAAACATGTTTTTCTGTGTTGTCGACATGTCACAGTATAGAGCATGTGGTCAATTAATTAATTAATCAATCATTAATCAATTAATTAATCAATCAGTCAATCAGTTAATTAATTAATTAATTAAAGTAATTAATTGAGAATTAATTTGAGCTTTATAGCGCAAATTAATTCTCAGCATTCTCAGCATTCTCAGCATTATTGCGCTACTTATGTATCGTGCTTTGCCGCAATTTATTTAATATGCATCGACTTGGATGCACTATAAATTTGTAATGATGAGAGGAGAAAATTATGATTTGCAAAACAATGCAGGTTTTATCCATGGGAAGATAGGCTTTTGTTGGTAAAGTATACGTACACAAAATAAAATGTGGATTGGATAGAATACCAAATCACATAAATGGATCACACGTGCATAAATGGATTCCGTATCTTTAGACACACCCATGTATAAATCAATGAATGTATGTGTGGTGATGAATATAATTTTGGTGGTGAGAGTATGCAAGATAACCCTGCTTATCGACAAGAACTGCCACGTCGACAAAAAACTCCATCCTGAGTAGCCATTTTGTGGAATACTTCTTTACAATATGTTGAGTGTTAAAATATGTAGCATTCGTTTTTTTTCGCTAATTTTTGCGTAGATTTTTATTTGCGACATTTCCACAAGAGGTGCAGTGACGACTAAAACTTATTCATCAAGAGCTGTTCTTATATGAATTTAGTGTACATATCGTAACTTCGAGACGGTTATAAATCTTGTTACCGGAGCCAGCGTAAGTTCTCGTCACACAAGTTTTTATTATCATTTAATATTGAGCTGAAGGTTTGCAAGCTATATATTCCTGTCATATTACTTAATTTAGAAAACATAAATTCAAGATAAACACAAGACAAAATATTTTTTGGTACACGTTTTTTTATGAAAATATCTGATCAGTTTTATTTAATTTGCAGATCCTTAACAACCTAAATTTACTTAATTCGTGTAAAACAGAAAAAGTTAAAAAAAATAAAATAATTGTAAAATGTTAAAATGGCAAAAGTATTGTTTCGTTATGCCCCTCAGAGATACCTAATTACTCAAATTTAATAAAAATATTAACATTATTTTAAAATTAAATTAAAGTAGCATTTAAATTAAAATAACGTTTACATACATTAAAATGACATTTAAATTAAAATAACATCTTAATTCTAACAATATTTAAATTAAATCAACCTTTAAATTACAATAGTCTTTCAATTAAAATTTCAGTTTAAAAATTCCGAGTGAACAATGGCATCTTCACAGTCGGAAGGAATACTTGAAAAAACTATTAAGGAAAACTTCACCGAGCTCAGAAATGCGTTGGCTGTGAGTGGGAATTTGCTAAGCTGTCTCGAACAGAATAAAATTATCACGGATGAGAAAGTGGCATCTTTGGTAATTTATTAGTAATAATTTATTACGTATTATTCACAATCTTAAATTTACTAATCGCAATGTAAACATTTCTGGTTAATTAAAGTCTTTCTATTTAAGGGAAAGATTGACGGAAATGGAAATAAGGCGGAGGCATTGCTTAAAATCCTTCGTGATTCAAGAACCGATTCTGACATACCCGTGATTATGAAAGCTCTCAGTGACGACATTAGCAGCAATAGCAAAGTTCTTAAAATATTTGAGCAGTCCATGGCAGGTATCAAAAAGAGGTTTAAATATGTTTAGATAATTTATGAGCAGGACATTGATCAATTTGTAAATTGTGACTCTAATTATGAACAAGGAGCAGCATCTTGTCTGATAAACAGTTAAACGTTATAATTTCTAAGTTCCCGCAGGAAATTTTGCCGCGCATTGAGTTACATTGAGGATATTAATTACGAGGTCGAATCTTTAGCGACATTAGCAGAAAAAATTGTTTGAAAATTGGCTTGTGAATTTACGGACCTTCAATAGTTTCCCAAGTAGAAATTGGGAAAATTCACGTAAAATTCACGTGAAATATCTGTCACTTGGCCGCAATTGTCACATGGAATTAACGTGACATAGACGATAAGTGTGAACTTCACGTGAAATTCATGCAAATTTCAAATTTACCTGAAATTCACGTGAATTCCATGAGACAAATGCGGCCAAGTCACACATAGTTTACGTGAATTTTCCCAATTTCTATTTGGGTTAACCAGATTGTGTTCAAAATCACATCGTAATGCGATCAGGGAACGACCTTGTATGACGTTGTAATTTTAGTGGGAGGGTGTTTTATTTCTTCCTATTTTTCCCACATTAAAATTCCCTATCCCTTAAGGTTCGATTGTATCACGTGAGCCCCTCCGAGCTGACTTTCTCCAGTCCATCTAAAAAGCATGGTGAAATTTCCAACCCCGTCATCTTTGTTGATATTTCATGAAATTGAGCATTCTTCAGTTTTTTGGAATTCAAATTGATCCCTTTTCAAAGTTAGGAGATTCATAATTCATTTATCTACTTCCTACTATTTATTTGTGACGATTAGATAAGTGACTGCAAACATTTACATAATCAAAACCTCAGCCAATATTTAATTTACTGCTTTGCCGATTAGGTGAATTTGTGGTAAGAAGATTGGATGTTGGAAAATGTAAATTTATACCAAATTTATTCCTAATCCAGGTTGCCAAGGAACCAATTTCTTCGATTTCGTTTTCGAACGAAATTTGCGCACGGGTTTTTTATCCGGAATGGCAGAAATTGTAGGACACGCCGAAATTAGATTCGATTTGACACAAACAAACAGAATTGTAGATATCCTCCTCCAAGATCCGATATTAATTGAAAGTTGGGAAGAATTATTCATATCGTTGGGGATAGACAGGGATGAGATAATTAGACTGCGACGACTTTTCCGTGTTGGTGAAATGAAATACAAAGCACTCTTTAGAACTCTAATTGAGCAATGGATAACTCAAAACTCTTTTCCGACGTTAACCTCATTGTGCGAAAGCTTGGAGAAATGTAAACTCAGAATGATCAAAGGTGTGCATTTAGTTTAATTTAATTATTTTATTATTATTGTCAATTATTATATCAATTTGTTTCAGGACTAATGCAAGTAGAATTTGGTCAATAGAGTTGAAAACGATTCATAAAATGAATTGTTAAAGTGACGTCTTGGACGATATAAATATGTAAATAAGTACTTATTTAGATTTCGAATGACATTGAGTTATATTTGTAACATTTATTTTTTTTTTAATCAGTTTCTCTTTGGGAGTTTTCACGTCACCGTCGTAGCTGTCGTAAATGGCGTAAGTTTCGTAAGTAACTTAAATTAACATTAGTTTACGAAAGTTACGCCATTATACCCCCATTATATATTTTACGTGCTTTGACGATGAATTATAGATAGGATTGAAAATATTAAGGAAATAAAATTTCTACGCTTTTTTCACTAAACGTCCGTGCAAGTTAACCGATTTTTTTATTGAAACCATAACTATTGCAACTACTCATAATAAGTAATTATGAAATTAACGTATGTAGGTCTTTAAAATGTGTAACTTTGAATGGATTATTTCAGGCCCTTGTGTCAATAACTCCAATCACTTCATTAGCCGCATTCATGAGCGTGTCTGTATCATCAGCATTACATATTAGAAATCGTCCAATTGAATGTTTTTTATACATTTACCTGCGAGTCGAGGCAGGTAAATTGCAATATTTTGTACGAGGGTGCAGCACGTATGAGATCGGAAAAGTTGAAGAAAAATAATTTTTTATGAGCTATAATTTTTCTAAGCTGAGGTTTTCTAAGACCATACTTACGGAAAAAACACCTAAGTAAACATTAAGTAGGGTTTTAAAAAGTGACATGAGGCCATAACTTTGCCATTTCTCAACCGATTTTAATGAAACAAAAACCCAGAGTCATTTATGATAGAGTAGACTCTGAATCGGTACTCGCAGACAGGAAGTGCTGTCCGTTCCTGAGATATTTACTAAACACCCCCTCTGAAATCGATTGATTAGGAGGCTAATTAAAAATTCTGTTTGGCAAAAAATTGAGGCAAATATTTTTGGCTATTGAATAATCTTGAGATGATCAAAGTCGGATAAGAAATGAAAAAGTTTTCTTGGTGGTAATAATGGTTAGTTTGAGAATTCTTAAAGAGTTTTTGGTAAAGGCCGCATAGCAACAATCTTGAGACATTTTGTGGTATAACAAATGTTGTCGGTGGAATAAAAAAATTGCGATGTGAACTATGTAGCAAGAAAAATGTCATCATTAGAAAATACTCTTTTACATCTATATTATAATTCAGCGTTTCACTCTGTAACGGAAGTGAAAGCAAATTTTCCGAAACGGAAGTGAAAGGAAATTTTCCGCAACGGAAGTGAAAGTGGAGAAAGTTAAAACATGAAAAAAACATTCATAATAATTAATACTTATTATCAAACAAAAGTTTAAAATAAACTAAGCCTTAAAAAAGGATGTCTTAGGTGAGTCTTGGATATGCGATTAAAAGGATTAAATAAAATCCCACGTACCCAATTAAATTACAATATCATCAGCATCACGGCCCTGTTAATATTTTCTTGACAAATATAACATGTAATATAAGTTGTAATTTAATTTGAAATAGCTTCAGCTTTGTGACAAAATTTTAATGCAAATTTAACATTGAACTAGCTAATACTCCTAAGAAATCCTCTTTAAAGGCTTAGTTTATTGTGCGGTGATTACGGTATCCCTGCACTTCGAAATATTTCGTTGGATTGTCGTTTTGGACCTCCCGCCCTGTGGGAAGTTCTACAACGTCTGCTTTGAGTAGAATCTGGCGACGTTTTAATTGTTTTGCAAAACTCAATTTGCGAGTAGTTTACCTTCTGCCCTATTACTATGCTTCCAGGTTGTTCTAAAACCAGTTTCTTGGATGGTTTCTGTTTGCTAGTGAAATAGGCTTTCAGCAAAAAATTTAATTAATTACATGGCCAAATTATTTGCGCGGTAATTCAAACGACACCGCACTTGATTAACTTTCCGGGCGCACCATACTTTGATAAGCACCGGATATTTTAATTTTTAATTAGTTTACAGTTGCATCATATTTTTATTTCGACAATTTGTGACAATCATTCCTGTACAATACTACTTTACAGCTTGAATTTTGGGCTTATTTTTATAAGAACGTTTCTTAGCTTTGACATGTTTAAAAGTTTTAAATGCACACCAAATTAGCTTACTAAGCGCTAAAATTAAATCCAAAAATGCCTTCCTAATTCCGTATTGCTTCAAGCTCCTAGCCCCATTATACATTATTTCAAACAGGAACCAAATCGCCGTCGCGGCTGAAAAAATTACAAACGTTGTAAATAACTCGCCCATATTTCCCTTCAAATTAATACCGACTGGGCCACGATCAATTAATTTTGTTGACAAATTTCCACTCTTTTTCCCCATTTCCTCGTAAAATAACCACCGACCAGAAATCCCTGACGTAACCAATCCTTTCACCCTCATGATAACTCTGGGATCTACCACTTTCTCCATTTTCCATCCGAATATCTGCTCCTCAATGAATTCATTCCCCAAACTATACTCCGGCCCGGGATGATTTTCTTCCAAAAATAGTTTCGCAACTCGAAGATACCTCATCCATCCAACATATGCCAGAAAGTCTGCAGCACATCGGAAATCTGTGAGTGTCCCGTTTCCTAAAAACACTTCATGATGCCTCCACAAATTCTTGTAGTTTGGTTGGTAATCAGCAATCAGTGAGAATACCCCTCCCTTACGTATCCTGTCCAATACCTTATTGCTTATCACGCGTCCGGACGTTTCTGCCGTCCAGGTCGATTTTTCCATAGCAAATCTATACCCTGGCATCATAACTACGTCATTCGAGGCGATATGAAAGAATTCATAACGATCCATAAATTTGAATTGGGCGTCAAAAAGTTGGGAAAACTTTTCATACGGGATAATTCTCAACGGTGCTAAAATTTTTGTCACGTTGTCACCCCGGATCGAGTTTGTGATTATGAGCGACATCATTATCCAAGGACCAAAGATAAAGTAGAGGGAGCGCTGCTTCTTGAGGTTTTTGTCTATACCGGCCCCCTGTTCGAGGAGCATGGCAAATCCGATGGATAGGGTGGTGAACAAGTTAGACATATATTTTTTTTGATTAGCCGTAAGTAAAATGAAGAGGCTGGCCAAGGTCATGGTAACCAGGACGGAAATCCACACCTCAACCTTATACACGCCGAATAACGCGGCTAAGCTGGTTTTTGGTTGGCGGAGGGGGGAACATGCGAGAAATCCAAACTGTTCTACCCTCCTTGTTAGTATAATGTCTCGGTCAGAGTTGACATGAATGAGGGGAAAATCTTGAGGATATTCACACATATCGTGTAGTACGAAGGCAGACGTATTGACTACTAACTTTCTAAAGTTTTCGCAAACTTGTATTGTTGGGCGATTGTCTGTATGGCAGACAAAGGTGGTATTTTGTGTTACAATCCGCAGCAAGATGTCATCCACGTTAGATATAGTTCTGCCAACCTCATGGAATTTTGGATTTCGCAATATCGGTAGTTTATTGTCCACTCCTCTAATGCAGTGGTTAACCCCGTTGTTGATTTTATTAAAGAAAGTAACTCCTTCTTGAACTTGTCGTATATGTGTGAAATCTCCAAATGGATAGCATGTTTTATAATACAGGTAGCAGTATCGGCAGCAAATCATAGTTTGGAATACTTTATGGTTATCGTTAACCAGAAGGAGGAAAATGGGTCAATCCAACCCCATTGTAGAAAGTGGCGATGCCCGAAAAAGAAATTTTGGTGCCTTTGTTCTGAACAAACATGTGATATCCTACGCGTGACTCTTGGAGTTCAAATGTGCCGAATAGCGAGTACCAAGGTCTATTTGCAAACTCTTCCTCGTAGTTAGATGGGTGCAAGATCCCGAGGTTTTTTTGAGGTGGAAAGATGTAAAACCGAGTCAAACATGTCCAAGCTTTTTGTTGACCCGAGTTTTTACGGAAAGGGGGTGGATCTGGGTCCTTACCTTCGTTATCAGTACAGTTAGGAATAGTTGTATTTTGTTCCCCTGGAACTGGATCAAGTAAAAATATCGTGTAGAACAGCGTCCAGCCACTAAGGTAACCCACGTCTGGACAAAAATCAACTGTTGTGAATCTAGTCGTCCAGATTGGCACGGCTGTTTGGGGAATATCTATATTTTGGTAGTTAAACACATTTATGGTGCAAGAATTGAAAATGTTTATATATTTGGCCAAATTGGAGATATACATTTCGACTTGTGTTTTTATTTTAGGGCACATAGATGAATACAGAGTTATGTATGCAACGTTTGCGATACGGGATATGGCCGAACAAACAGGCAAACTGAATTATAAATATATCGACCCAAATGTAAGTTGTATCGCAGACTTTATATGGCCCGAGCATGGTTAAAGTGAATTTAGGATTTTACAAGAATTTTATATCTGCTATCGCACTTTTACCGTGTGGGATATTTTTATAAAATTGCGTCAAATTAAAATTTACCCTGACAGCATTTAATAGTCTCTTGGGCGCATCTTTCTAACTAATTTATGTTTAATGGCGAATGGGTGTTGAAAATGATGAGTAAGTCAGGAGTTAAGAAAAAGTCCGTGTAATCGTTTTATGTGTAAACGTACTACTTGTATTTCTAAGGTTAATTAGTATCAAATTTTCCTTACTTCTTTTCACTTACACATAGTCCATACCTTTTATTCTGGGACAATTAGACCATTCTGACTTACCCACACCTTCACCTACATACACAGCAACAATGTATAATCATTTAACATCATTAATACTTATTATTATTAACATTATTATTATACCGGTTATGTAACAACTAGAGCTGAACTTGAGAAATTTAAAAGCTTCTGAAAATCTTGAGCAATGGAGAAAATTTTTAAATTTTTAAATTTTTAAACTACGACCACACCCCCTGGAAATTTTAAATGAATTCAGAACAAATATTTCTTTCAAAAGAGTCTAATTTTAATGAATCGACCATAGTACTGAACAGAGTTAAACCATTTTCCGTTTGTAAAATTTAAATCCAATCGATTACATTAGCTTTGTAATGTTTTGAGACAGACAGAAACGACATTCTCATAAGTCTGCTAAAGCAAAAACAATCGATACGACTGGTCGTGACTTGAACCTCTTAAACCTGATTTAAAAACTGGCTTGCCCATTATGTTAATCCATTTTTCTTACATTTGTCGAATATCGCTAACAAAATAGACCTTACATAAATACATATGTATGGATTCCTTATACATGTATGTTCGTGACCAAAATTATACATAACTAATTTACAAATCTATACTGTACGCAATGCAACTTGAATAAATACTGTTGTTGAGGCTATAAACCCGTCCTAGACTTTTACCG